CGTGGTTATGTTCACCAGGGTCTGCTGGAGGGAGGTGTGTGGTTATGTTCACCAGGGTCTGCTGGAGGGAGGTGTGTGGTTATGTTCACCAGGGTCTGCTGGAGGGAGGTGTGTGGTTATGTTCACCAGGGTCTGCTGGAGGGAGGTGGGTGGCTATGTTCACCAGGGTCTGCTGGAGGGAGGTGTGTGGTTATGTTCACCAGGGTCTGCTGGAGGGAGGTGTGTGGTTATGTTCACCAGGGTCTGCTGGAGGGAGGTGTGTGGTTATGTTCACCAGGGTCTGCTGGAGGGAGGTGTGTGGTTATGTTCACCAGGGTCTGCTGGAGGGAGGTGTGTGGTTATGTTCACCAGGGTCTGCTGGAGGGAGGTGCGTGGTTATGTTCACCAGGGTCTGCTGGAGGGAGGTGTGTGGTTATGTTCACCAGGGTCTGCTGGAGGGAGGTGTGTGGTTATGTTCACCAGGGTCTGCTGGAGGGAGGTGTGTGGTTATGTTCACCAGGGTCTGCTGGAGGGAGGTGGGTGGCTATGTTCACCAGGGTCTGCTGGAGGGAGGTGTGTGGTTATGTTCACCAGGGTCTGCTGGAGGGAGGTGTGTGGTTATGTTCACCAGGGTCTGCTGGAGGGAGGTGTGTGGTTATGTTCACCAGGGTCTGCTGGAGGGAGGTGTGTGGTTATGTTCACCAGGGTCTGCTGGAGGGAGGTGAGTGGTTAGGTTCACCAGGGTCTGCTGGAGGGAGGAGCGTGGTTATGTTCACCAGGGTCTGCTGGAGGGAGGTGAGTGGTTATGTTCCCCAGGGTCTGCTGGAGGGAGGTGTGTGGTTATGTTCACCAGGGTCTGCTGGAGGGAGGTGTGTGGTTATGTTCACCAGGGTCTGCTGGAGGGAGGTGAGTGGTTAGGTTCACCAGGGTCTGCTGGAGGGAGGAGCGTGGTTATGTTCACCAGGGTCTGCTGGAGGGAGGTGAGTGGTTAGGTTCACCAGGGTCTGCTGGAGGGAGGTGAGTGGTTAGGTTCACCAGGGTCTGCTGGAGGGAGGTGTGTGGTTAGGTTCACCAGGGTCTGCTGGAGGGAGGTGTATGGTTATGTTCACCAGGGTCTGCTGGAGGGAGGTGTGTGGTTATGTTCACCAGGGTCTGCTGGAGGGAGGTGAGTGGTTACGCTCACCAGAGTCTGATTTTATACAAAAAAAATGATTATTGAGAGAACACAGGAAAAAGTTCACTTCCTAGAGGCTGTAGATGTCCTCGAACTCCTCCGACGCCGGGCAGGAACCGAGGACACAGCGGGCATTCCGCGCTGAAAGAGAAAACTTGCTGCTCTAGGGTCTCATGTAGTGAGCTTGGAACCAAGATCCTTAAGAAACCTTCTTGCTCTCTCTCCCCATAGGCCTAGGGTCTCAGACCATATTGGAACGAAGTTGTACCGATGATCTAATTCCCTGTACTTGGCTGACTTGTATCTTTCTCTGTGTGTCGCCGCGACTCCTGCTTGGCCGGCAGAGAGGTTGATGTATGTGGTTGCCAGGGTGGATACGCAAGTATAGTCCCATGCCAACTGTCTGCCACCCTTCCACAGGTGCAGTGTGATTCCGTCTGGTCGGCTGGCAAAGCTAACAGGAGTCACGGTTCAATAGATTGCGGGGCTCTCTCTCCGCTGGACACTGAGCAGAGGCAAGGCTTCTTTTAGTGGTGATAATGATGATGAGTGTATATATATATATATATATATATATATATATATATATATATATATATATATATTTTTATATATTTATATATTTATATATATATATATATATATATATATATATATATATATATATATATATATATACACACCTCGTTAAGGACGCCACCACTCTGGCTGTGGGTTAATGATGCGGAATACGCAACGCAGCTCGGGCAAATTGCGTAATCCAATCCTCCGTAACCACAGAGGTATTCCGATGCTCTGATGGACACATTTCTGCGCCAACATTTTTATATCTCCTTGCGGCAGTATGCGCGCACTTAAGTGTTCTCTGTGATGTCATAAATCTCGTTGAAAAGTGAACTTAAAAAATAATTTCTGGGAATTTCATTTGCTTTAATATTTCCTGTGGTTGATGCAGATTTCTGGGTACCGGTAATTTGCGGGTATATTAAAAAAATATATTATACTTTTATACCCTTAATGCTATGTTTTTCATTGTCTGTTATAATTTGGGCAGAATCACTGGTAATGATGCATTAAATATCACAGCTAGCTTTAAGGAGATTGTTTTATAGTAAGTAAAGTCTTAAAAGGTAATTATTTCCCGAAAGACGGATAATTAGACGCTACACTTTCTTAAAATCATTGCATGCTCATGGCTCCTCTGTCTTACGCCAGCTTCTTCGTCTTGATCAGATTATTATCATAACTTATCACGTTGGATATAAATTATCATATGGGGTATATCTCATCATATGGGGTATAACACTGTCAGATTGGGGTATAACTTATCATGAGGGAGTGAAACTTATGAGGTGAATTAGTTATGAAGTGAATTAGTTATTATGTTGAGGGTTTAACTTACCAATTGAGAAAAGATTTGTGCTGTTGTGGCTTAGTGGGTCAAGATGCACATCTAAGACTCACCTTAACGCTGGTTCAAATCCCCCAAGCGGCTTCAACTAATTTTCTCATATGAAATAGAATCCATCAGTTGAGATCTGTGTTATCATACTGCCATAACTTATCATGAAGGGTGGATAACTTCTGTTCGTATCATACGTTGTATAACTTTCCGTGTGGGATTATATATATATATATATATATATATATATATATATATATATATATATATATATATATATATATATATATATATATATATATATATATATATATATATATATATATATATATATATATATATATATATATATATATATATATATATATTTATTTATATATTATATATTGTTATCTTAATCATGTAGAATATATTTAGTATAGTTATCTGTCATGTGATTATAGGTGTAATGTAGGGGAATAATTATCATGGAAAGATATGATATAATTATCTCGCCGGGGAATCATTCAGTGGGTATAATTGTTATATATTATCTTGGAATATAATCATTAGACAAGAGCGCAAGTGGGCGGCGATGTTTCTATAACAATATTATTATAGTTATGTAGTTGTTATTACGGTATGATGATCATGGTGATCATTATTATCACATGAACAAATCCCCCGCAAGCACAACTAGGTAAGTACAATAGGTAAGTAAACAATTGCCCTGCATTAACTCTTGAAAGATTGGCTGGCCACCAATACTTAACAATTCGCCTCTATTCACCCAGCAGCAACTGAGGTTGTAAACCGCTTGTGAAAAAAAACATTAAGCTTAGCTAGCAGGAGTCTAGACGTCGTCTATTCCTGTACCCATCTGTGAAAAAAGAGAGTCATACTGCAGTTGGATGGAGAACACATTAGCAAGTGAGCTGAGAAAGGATTCGGCATCTTTTAAGATGCCGAATCTCAATAGGGATTCAACATAAGTACAAGAAGCAACATGAGTATATATTCTGTCAGTTATTTGCAAACTTCTCAGAGGTCGGTGACTTTTGTAACACAGGATATCGTAATTTGCATAATTTAGGAGGTTCAGTCCACAATAACAATAATTAAAATGTATTTATATTTACGTGTACTACTCACACTTACCTGTTATTAAACCGAACGCCACGTTGGGTTCCTTCTCGATTCAAAATGTAGAATTTAGGGTTCGAATCCCGAACGGGATAGAAATGTGTGGGCAGGTTAACAATCACCTAATGCCTGTGTTCACTTAGCATTAAATAGGTACTTATGAGGTAGTCAGTTTGTTGAGGGGTTGCTTCCTGGGAAGGGTCGTAGTTCGACCCTTGGGGACCTCGATATAAGCCTGACCTGTATATACACAGGCTGCCTGTCCCCCAGACAAAATTAACTATTATTAGTGCTATTATTATTATTTGCTATGAAAATCTTGTATAAAATTAATATTCAATATTAAAAAAATATGTATAATATAAACTTATAGCCAGTTCAATATTTTTTTCCGTTTATTTGAACTTTCATTATTTTAGAAAATTCAGCCTTGATAACATCAGCCCATTGACACCTCAAGTCACTAGTACCAAGCATCAATGGCACAGGATATATATATATATATATATATATATATATATATATATATATATATATATATATATATATATATATATATATATATATATATATATATATATATGTATCATATTATATATAATATATATATATATATATAATATGTCATATATATATTATATATATAACAGTCATATATATTATATATATGTATATATATATATATATATATATATATATATATATATATATATATATATATATATATATATATATATATATATATATATATATATATATGACTGAACTCTAAATGACCGGGCCGGGACTCGGACTCATATATCCCTATAAATGCGTTATCCTTTTGCTTTAGTATACTATGTTTAGGACTAAAACATACTTGTTGGTTGGTCAGTATGCTATTATGGTGGGTATAATAACCCCTGCAGAGGTTGATACAGACTTTGAGCCCAACACCAAACCACACAATTTGCGACGCGACCCAGGGCGTGGCTGAGCCTCCATCCTGGCGGCTCTATTCTAACCCAAACAGGAAAAAAAATTAAACCCCGATGAAAAAGGCATAATCTCTGTTTTTATTAGGACACAAGCAGCATCGCAATAACTGGCCTTCGCAGTATGTACAAGGCTTTATATACACAAACACATATACACACATAAATAGTCAAAACCGCACTCTACATAGACGCAACACATCACTCGGGCGCTAACACAACTAAGCTATCCTCTTGGAAAGTAGGATATTATATATATATATATATATATATATATATATATATATATATATATATATATATATATATATATATATATATATATATATATATATATATTTATTTATGCTATACACAACCATGTGGATTTTTTAACGTTGCCAATAAGGCTCAACTTCCATGTAGGAAGGTGAGCTTTATTGGGTCTTGAGTATAAGAGGCTGCAGTGAGTCTCTATTATATATTAAATTTCAGAGAGAGAGAAAATCTGACTCGCTTCAGGTAGGACTCGAGACGGAATCGAATGCCTTTGAAGCACAATAATAATAATAATAATAATAATAATAATATAACATTCTTTTATGTATAGATAACTCTTATTTATATGTTCGTTTTATTTTGGCCATAACCTAATGAGGAGAATTCTGGCTTTATATATGAAATATCATTAAGTTTACCTGTTAATGATATTTCTGCCATTCGTTGATGGGATTGCACGTTACAGGTACATCATTACAGGCCTCGTACCTTGTTTAATACTCGGTCTATTATTTGCAATCTATTACAGGGCGACTGCCAGTAGTTTTTTTTCCCAAGTCCAATCAGTCCGTTCGTATTCCCAACACACCAGAATTCACCTTTTTTATTTTTTTTTCATTTTTTTTTTACATTTTGTGACTCAGAGTATATGCCTAGGTGGCCGAACTCTTGAACTCACAATAAAACCTTCTGTATCCGATGATTTGAACTTTAAATCACGTATCACTGGGGGACAGGCGGACGGGCAGTGAACTACCCTCCGGAATGCCTGTCAACATTCCTGACGGATGCGGGAGGCGGCGTCCCATCCCGCAGACTCCGCCTGACAGCTTGTGCGAGGGAGGTCTGTGGCCACGGCAGAGAGAGACAGACAGACACATATGGACAGGAGCTGGGGGACGGGGCGACGGATAGGAATGAACACCGGCGGTAAGGGACGGAAAGTATCCGCGATTCTGGACGGAGTGTTTGTACCATAGTCTTCATGTGCTGGACGGGCCGGGGGGGAAGGGAAGGGGGGAAGGCTGTGTCACGGTCCGGGTGGTGACACAGAGGCTTCAGGACTATGCCACGGATCATGAGGGCTGGGCCGCCACGGCTCTCGCTCATCACGCCTTAGTTGTGAGGTCCACGGCGGCCGTGGAGGTGGGCACGGAGGTATGGAGAGGCGACACGGGCGGGGATACGGGCGTGGCGGAAGACTGGGGCGGCAGGAGGCGCTGACGCTTGATGCTGAGGTCGATGGGCGCGTCCTGCTCGGGCGCGGGGGCGGCTTCCCACGCCCGCGGGCTGAGAGTGTGGGCGTGCGTGTCCCCCAGGGGAGACACGGCCAAGCGTTTCCTGGGGTAGGGGAAGGCCAGGGGCGGCGGGGGCAGATGCGGCTGGAAGTCGAAGGGCGTCCGGCTGGGGGAGCTGGTGGCCCTGGGGCTGTGGGAGGAGTGCTCCTTGGGCGGGCTGGGGGGCGGGCGGGCGGGGCTGGGCGGCACCAGGAGCGACGGGGCGAGGGCGGGGTAGATCATGGGTGGGTAGAGGCGGGAGTAGAGGTGGGAGGCGTGCAGGAGGGAGAGGCCAGGGTGGAGGCCGTACAACGACAGCCCCCCCGCCGTGCTCATCATCTCCCTCCGCACGCCCTCGCCGTACCTGTCGCCGCCCCGCCCCACCACGCCCTCGCCGTACCTCTCCCCACCCCGCCCCACGCCCTCCCCGACGCTCATCTCCTTCGGCGACGACGTCCGACGCGGCTCTATGTCGACGCTGGTCTCCGACAAGCAGCTCTCGGGGGAGGATAGAACCGGCGACTCGACTTTGGCCTCATCCTCGGACTTGGCGGGAGAGAGGGCGGGCATGGAGGCGGGGGAGAGGGACATGGACCCGGCCAGGGCCCCAGGGAAGGGCCCGCCTCCGCCGCCCCCGCCCTCCAGCCCCTTGTTCAGCTGCGTCGCCTGCTCCTGCAGCAGGCAGTGGATCTTGAACCAGTTGGACCGTCGCCCGTACCTGCAGGACAATACACACGGCATTAAACATACAATTACGAGATTGTCATGAACTAAACGAGACTCCATATGAGCGTCTAGTGAGGTTAGGTTAGGGAGCATAACTAGCCTCGCTAGCCGCGTTAACTAATAACTAATTATGAATTATCTCGTAGGGAATAAAAGTGTTTAACGTCGGCTTCATTTTGATAACGTTTCAAAGTTTAACTATTCAAGTGTTTCAAATTGAAACATTTCACTGTTTCAAATGAAATTTAAAGAATATGCTCTATTGTATATGATGTAAAATCTCTCATATTTGTTCACAGCAACACCAGTCATTTGGGACGTACTAATGACAATTTCGTGATCCAGAAAATGCAAGCCACTTTAATTGATGTTAAAACCCTATCATCACTCAACACTGCAATTGTGACTGATTGTTAGAAAAGATTAGTTTTCACAATAAACAATTTAAAGTTTATCTCTCAAGTTTTATATATATATATATATATATATATATATATATATATATATATATATATATATATATATATATATATATATATATATATATATATATATATAGTTTCATATATGTTCCCAATTATGAAACCTCTTAACATGGGAAGGAGAGGGAAATATCAGAGGAAAAGCACCAAGCCTTTATGACTATATCAGCACTTGGAAGGGATCAGAATAAGGATTTGAGATGGGACAAGGTGGGAAGGAATGGTGCCCAACCACTTGGACAGTCGGGGGGATTGAACGCCGACCTGCATGAAGCGAGACGGTCACTCTACCACCCAGCCCCAAGTGGTTGTATAAGTAAAATATTTTACAGTCCCGAGTTCGAGTCCCAAGGATCCATATGTGCGTTAACGAGAGGAGTTTATACCTAGTGGTATAAACTACCTCCTAGTGGTATAAACTACCTCCTAGTGGTATAAACTAGTGGTATAAACTACCTCCTAGTGGTATAAACTACCTCCTAGTGGTATAAACTACCTCCTAGGGGTATAAAGTAGTGGTATAAACTACCTCCTAGTGGTATAAACTACCTCCTAGTGGTATAAACTAGTGGTATAAACTACCTCCTAGTGGTATAAACTAGTGGTATAAACTACCTCCTAGTGCTATAAACTACCTCCTAGTGGTATAAACTAGTGGTATAAACTACCTCCTAGTGGTATAAACTATATAAAAATATATAGTGGCCTCACCTTGAGCCGCTCTTGGACATGCCGACCATGAGACACTTGCGCAGCCTGCAGGCCTTGCACGAGGTCCTGTTCTGCTTGTTGATCACACACTGACCGCCGTTCTTGCACTCGTGCACTTGCGACAAGTTGTTGTACGTCCGCCCGAAGAACGACTGCCGGGAGAAACGGTGTGGTTAGTCCTCTGGTTTGTTGTGGTTGTTGCAGCTACGGTGTATTTGTTGTGGTTGTTGCAGCTGTTTTTTGTGTGTGTTGTTGCAGCTGTTTTTTGTGTGTGTGGAGTGTTAGAGATTAGTGTATCTGAGAAAATGTTGTGGCCTGTGACTGTAGAGCGGATTTTTGTGGTTGAAATAAATTATCATACATATGTGTACATGTGGCTTCTAATGTATGATTATATGGCATACTATAATTTAAATTGACATTATTCTGTTAAAGCAACGCAAATCCTACACCCCCCCCTCCCCTCCCTCCCTCTCTCTCTCTCTCTCTCTCTCTCTCTCTCTCTCTCTCTCTCTCTCTCTCTCTCTCTCTCTCTCTCTCTCTCTCTCTCTCACCTTACAACCTTCGCAGGTGAAGGCGCCGAAGTGGAAGCCTGCAGCGGGCTCCCCACACACCTTGCACAGCTGGTTCATCCTGCCGTAAGAGAGAGACACAAACCCATTAGCAACAGGAAAAACATTTTGCGAAAAAGAATGCATTTCATTTGCGTGAAGCAATAATAATTATGCAGATGAAAATTTCAGCTAGAAATAATAAAATCTGATCTAAGAATCATAAATAACTAAGAATAGGTGATAATAACTATATATATATATATATATATATATATATATATATATATATATATATATATATATATATATATATATATATATATATATATATATATATATATATAATATATATATATATATATATATACGGAAGAATATATTACAGATAAACAAAACTCAAAATGAAAAACTTAAAAGGGAAAATTTGAAAAATAAACAGCCAATTATGCTGGCAAAATTATTGGAGAAACAGGGAAGTGTTGAGTAACTGGAAAAAATCCAAATTATATCAGATATAAATAGAGTTTTCTACGGAAACTTAGAGTGAAACTAATACGTGGAAAATATATGTAAAATAAAAATGTAATACGTAGGGAGAAAATAAAAAAAATGGGAAAATAAATCAAAATATGAACCTAATATGTAGGAAAATATATATATAAAAGTGAAAGTAATAATTGAGGATAACATAAAAAAGTGAAAATAATTTATGTTGAAAATATATCATATTGTGAAACATATTTTGTGAAAATATAATTTGAAAAATTGTAATTATGAGACTCCGAGTGATAACCAAAGACAGATATATGAAAATCGAAATAAATTTAGAGCAAGGAATAATTTAAATGATTATTTGTTAACAAATAAGTTTAGGAAAACAACAATAAAAATAGCTAGAACAAAATTAGATGAATATATTCGAACTTCTGGCTATACAGGTTCGAATCCCGGTCTAGTCATATAGTTCTTAGTGATATATGACTTAAGGAAAAATCAATATATATATATATATATATATATATATATATATATATATATATATATATATATATATATATATATATATATATATATATATATATATATATATATATGATGTATGTATAACAGAAGCTAGATTTATTTAGGGACAAGAAAAGGATAATTAAAATAGTCTTTACCACTGAAAGGGGATGAACTCAATAAGGGAAAAAATATATTATACCAAAGTTGACAAAATATTAATTTAGAATAATCGAAAAAAAAATACTCAAAAAATCCTAGTGAGCTGGAATAAATTCAAAGAATGCTCAAATACATTATAAAACCTACATAAATATATAAATCAAAAGTGAAAGCAATCAGATTAAGGGATTTTGTTTTGTTTGTTATCAAACACTTCTCCATCAATATGCCGAGAAATATTAACATAATTATGAATTAGGTAAAAGCAAACGAATAATAAAAAAAAATCAAAATATATTAGCATAAAGAAATAGTAAACTGATGAGAGTGAAAGTACCTTAGGAGAGAGCGAAAGTAAATCTGCATATCCGAATTTTTTTTATGTTTTGTTTTGATTTTTAAGACTAAATTTGGTCTTTTTCTTTATATTCTCGTCTTGTTATAAGTAATTAACATCTGGTGTGCTCTTGAACAGCTTTTCCTTCTGATGACAGAGAAAAATAAATATATTTAGCACACAGGTTACTAGTTAGCTAGTTTGGGTTAATGTACTAAATATCAATATATACTCGTAATGTGCATATTTATTTATATAAATATATAATATATTTGTTAGTTTAAATCTGTGACGTCTTGTTGAGGTTCCAGGTCTCAAAAATTGTTCTTTATAAATTGTATAGAATCCCGTTACTATTTTGTACGTAGTAATCATATTGCCTCTTCTAGTTTTGGCATATTTAATGCCTCTAACCTGTCCTTGTAGCTCTTGTCTTTCAATTCTGAAAGCCATTTAGTTGCATGTAGTTTCAGTCTCTCATCAGTGTAATGAAGTTTCACCTTTTCCAGTTTGCTGATGTACTTCTAAAGATATTGGCACCATACAACTTCTACATATTTAAACTTTGGTCTCACTCTCCATGTATTTAAATGCAATTCTGAAATTGGAAAGCGTTGCATAGGTTCTTCGCACAATTTTCTTTATGTGGTCCCCATGTGACAGTTTTCTGTCTGAAAACCATCTCTAGATCACTTTATCTGAATTCCTAAAATCTTTTACACATAATTTTTAGGTTGTACGTGGCCTATTTTCTCCTTTTCAGATTCATAACAAGGCATTTATCCACATTAAATTCCATTTGTCAAATAAAAGAAGCATCAGGTGTATCGTGTGTGTGTGTGTGTACTCACCTGATTGTGCTTGCGGGGGTTGAGCTTTGGCTCTTTGGTCCCGCCTCTCAACTGTCAATCAACTGGTGTACAGATTCCTGAGCCTACTGGGCTCTATCATATCTACATTTGAAACTGTGTATGGAGTCAGCCTCCACCACATCACTTCCTAGTGCATTCCATTTATTAAATTAACTACTCTGACACTGAAAAAATTCTTTCTAACGTCTGTGTGTGTGTGTGTGTGTGTGTGTGTGTGTGTGTGTGTGTGTGTGTGTGTGTGTGTGTGTGTGTGTGTGTGTGTGTGTGTAAGTCCCCTCTAGGCCACCTCCCGACCTTTCCCAGGATGGAACCCACAACACTCGCCAAATACACAGGTATCTATTTACTGCTGTAAACGTGCCAACACGTCCACGTCCTGCTGTATGCGGGCAAAAAGCATGATTAAAGAAATACTAGAATATCTTCCTCAGGCATGAGACCTGTGTAGAACACCTTCCCCGATGAGGTAAATATTTTGTCAACAATGTGATCCCACGAGAAAGTACACGATGAAATCACAGTAACGGGATTTATCAGTGAGGAAATCTGCAGAGCGTTCAGGCTAGGATCGAACGAGTGAACATATCTTCACCTCTCCATAAACATGAGTTTGAGCTTGCAGGACATGATGACTCCAGTCCCCGCGGCGGTGCTGAAACGTAATCATGTCACTTACGAGGGGTAGAGAAGTGGCATTCGCTTCCCAAGAAGTTTATAACTCAGGCAGCGTAACAATTACGAGGATCATTTGTGGCCTCTCAAGCTGCCTGGTGCTTCCTGACGGAGGCAGCCCTACGCGCAATAAAACCCTCAATGATTTCGCTTCAATTTCGGTCTCTGTTGTGAAGGCTTTCACAAGCGGCGCTCGTCTTTCATGTCCTGACATGCATTCCTTTGTAGTCATACTCATGAACAAGTGTGTTCATAAATTGGTAATTAATAGTATTGTGATTATTTCGATTAGTCATTTTTATGAAACGAAAGTGATTTAGCATGTTCCCTAAACATTTTTGGCATTAGAAGCTGATAAACAAACAAAAATTTTGTTTGTCACAGTTGATTAAGATAATTTTGAAAAAGTACTAATATTACTAATGATACTAATAATTACATATATTTTAATAATTCCATATATTTTAATAATAATAATATTAATAATAATAATAATAATAAGAAGAAGAAGAAGAACAACAACAACAACAACAATAGTATCAACTATCAATAATATCAGAGTTTTGAAATTCAGCTCTCCAGTGAATTTTCTCATTGATATACATCACGTTATTTTGATTTCTCTCGTGTTTCTGAAGTTGAAGGTTAGAGTGAATGAACCACGTTGTCTCTTACTGAAATGACCATACGAATCATAATTACTCACACTCCGCCTAAGTAAAACAGAAACAAGCAACACTAAGTAAGTTGTATACCTCTTATACAATAAGAGTAATAACCTCTTATTGTATAAGAGGTTATACCTCTTATAAAATAAGAGTTATAACCCCTCTTATTGTATAAAAGGGGTTATACGTATAACTTGGACTGGCTTTAGCTATATTCTTCCAGTCTTCCTGTCGATTCAATAGAATTACAGGTTGTATAACCTATAACAAAGTCGTGATGGTACAGTGGTAACGTCAGTCAGAGATCTGGTTGATTTTCTCATTAATATATATCACGGTAGTATGATTTCTTTGTGTTAATAATAACAATAACAATAATGATTATTAAAATATATATATTAGTAATAATAATTATCCTAAAAAATAATAATATTTATTTATTTATTATTTTATTTATTTATTTATATATATACAAGAAGGTACATTGGGATTGAGGATACATAGCATAGTAATTACAAGCTTATAAAGCTACTAGTACGCGCAGCGTACCTGCATTTTCATCTGCACATCATCTGCATTTTCCAAAACAGTATAACAGTGTACTGTGAAGGGTACAATGTTTCGAGCCATAGGTCTTGAGATGTTTCGTGCCATAGATCTAGTAGAGGTTTTGTATCGTAGGTCTCATCGACATTAAAGACCGATGGTCTAATACATACACAATATTGTATCAACGCAACTGGGGTAAATAAAGACTGTAATGGCAGTATTCACAACCTGAGTAATGGCATTAATACCGTGTTCTTTAATTGAATATGTCAAGAATAGTAAGGAGTGGATATGCCATGATAGAATTTTCAAAGAATTGGAGAATTAATATATCAGAATAAAAGATGGTTTAAACATAGTGCGAGATATATCTAACAAAAATGTTATTTATAACTTTCAGTGATATTTCACGGTAGGCTTAGATGAAGGGGGGGGAGGAGTTATTATTAGTTTTTTTTGAAGTTGGTTTATATAAAGGGAAAAAAATGGTCATGAAGCACGTGAAGATATTATGTGAAAATTCCCGGCATTTAATATTAACAAGAGAGGTATCGGTAATATCTGATAGATAAGGTTAACAAGAGCTGGATCAATAATACGAGATAGTTAATATTAACTGAAGATAGATCAATAATCCCGAGAGATGAGAGACAAAATAGAGAGGACAATAATCCCAACTGATAAGAATCAACTGATAACTGATAACTGATAACTCTTATCTGTTATCAAAACAGAAGGGTCAGTAACCCCTACATGTAAGATTAACAAGAGTTCATAATTCCTAATTGCATAATAAAATTAATAATCTCGACAGGTAAGAGTAGCAAGGACAAAGAGCAATAAGTTTTAAGTGGAAATTCTAAGACTAAACCAAGCAATTGGCCAGGAAAGGTGGTTGTGAGCACGGTGTGTAGTCACCTAGTTGTATTCATCTAGTTGTGATTGCGGGGGTTGAGCTCTGATCTTTCGGCCCTCCTCTCAACTGTCAATCAACTGTTACTAACTACTATTTATTTTCCCCATACACACACACATACCTAGGAAGCAGCCCGTAACAGCTGTCTAACTCCCAGGTACCTATTTACTGCTAGGTAACAGGGGCATCAGGGTGAAAGAAACTGTCCATTTGTTTTTGCCTGGTGCGGGAATCGAACCCGCGCCACAGAATTATGAGATCTGCGCGCTATCCACCAGGCTACCAGGCCCCTTGTGTGTGTATGTGTGTGTGTGTGTGTGTGTGTGTGTGTGCGTGTGTGTGCGTGTGTGTGTGTGTGTGTGTGTGTGTGTGCGTGTGTGTGTGTGTGTGTGCGTGTGCGTGTGTGTGTGCGTCTATTTACAAGATGGTGCTCATGTTTCCCGTCATCCTTTGCACGTTTGGAAGATTTCAATCTTGCATGCACCACCACCTCCTGTATTCTTCCCATCCTTCACAGCTTGTGCTCATTTCTTCCTCATGTTTCTCATATTTCTTTCAAATCTTTCTCGTATTTTTCTTATGTCGTTTGTATATCTTTCTTATATCTTTTTTATATCTTATATCTTTCTTATATCTTTCTTAGATTTCGTTATATCTTTCTTTCTTATATCTTACCTATATATTATATATATTTTTTATATATCTTATATATTTTCAATATTTGATTTACGTCTTTTTAACGCATTAATATATTTCCTGAGACTCGTACTTACAGTTAATTCACAGGAATTTCGGCACTATCTTTCGCATCGAAAAAAATAAGACGCTTTAAGGAACAAATCCACAAGGGCCGTGACGAGGATTCGAACCTACGTCCGAGAGCATCCCAGACGCTGCCTAAAATCGACTGAGCTACGACATGGTCAAAAAGGAAAGGACACGCTTTAAGGAAACAAAAAGCACTGCGATATTTACGTTTCCTCTGGCTACTTCGCATTGACCTCGGCAGATGAGATATGTTGCCCAGTCTAGCTTCATTCGCCTTCTGGGTTAGGCAAAAATACTTCCAATTTGACGCTCGTCATATCGAAAGATCTGGCTGGAATGTACAGGTAAGGACTACACTGCACAAACGCTGCCCACTCCAGCGTTGGTCTGACGTTTGTCAGACTACCGCATCTAAAAATCTAGATGTACGTCTAACGCATTATTATATTTAAACCATCGCTCTCCGTGCTCATATCTAGACACTACCCAGCCCGTCCACCTCATAGCCGTTCGCTTTTCTCCCTCAGCCATACTTCTTTCCTCACTCCCCCCCCCCACCACCCTCCCTCACTCCTCACCCTCTTCCTTCCCTCACTCCTCAACCCCTACCTCCCTCATCCTTCTTCACTCCCTCCTCTCTCCCCCCCTTCCTCCTCCATCACCCCCCCACCCCCACCCCGCCCCACCAATCTTCCTCGCCAC